CAGTACTCATTATGAGAGACAGAGCTCTTCAAAGTGCAGATGCTTTGAAGTCTCACCGGGAACCCAAAACCTCGTGGAGCCATCAGAAATGGGACACAGGTGACAACCTCAGTTAGGCCACAAACCGTAGCGGGGCACTTAGAACGGGTAGGAACCGATACCTCCCATCACGTCTGACAATTCTCGCCAGCGGTGCTGAGGCTTACATGCCACAAAGACGTTTGTGCCTTCCTTTCCATGGCACGTTGTATTTCCAAACACTACCAGACCATCCTCCAGTTCCAGCCAGGCTAATCCCTACATGGGGTTGCATGCTGCAGGGAACATGATTGAGGTTGAACTAATATATATAAAAAAATAATTTTTCATAGAGATATATATATAAATGATTCACTTAGAAAAACAACTGTAAAAAGGATAGCCGTATTTGGAAACGTGCTATCACAAATTAAAATCTCTCAGTACAGCCACATACAACATTTCATAGAACCATAGAATGGTTCGGGTTGGAAGGGATCTTCACGACCATCTAGTTCCGACCCCCCTGCCATGGGCAGGGACACCCTCCCACTACACCAGGTTGCTCAAAGCCTCATCCAGCCTGGCCTTGAACACTTCCAGGGTGGGGTTGGCCACAACTTCTCTGGGCAACCTGGTCCAGTGCCTCAGCACCCTCAGAGGGAAGAATTTCTTCCTTATACTTAATCTAAATCTCCCCTCTTTCAGTTCAAAGCCATCACCCTGTGTCCTATCACTACATGCCCTTGTAAAAATCCCCTCTCCAGCTTTCCTGTAGCCCCTTTAGGGCTACTGGTGCCCAAACTCTTCTTGCTTGGGGTGAAAAATAGAGACCTGGATACTGGAGAGAATCAAGGGACACACCATCATCACCCGCTCGCCTGAGCACGTCCCGCCGGGTTTATACCCGGTTTGCAGGCGAAGGGGCACAAAGCACAGTGTTGGCACGTGTTTCAAAGGAGCAGGAGGATTTTCGCCGTGCTGGGGCTTTTAAAAATTGTTGCTGTTTTGACAACAAGAGTGTTCACGGGTTGGTTTCTGCTCCGAGCTGAAGCCTCTCTGCCCTGGTGCCGTGTGAGTCCATGAGCAGGGGAGCGACAGGGGTTCACTGCCCCTCTCCGAGCTATGGGAATTGCAGAAAGAAGAGACAAAACCAGGATCCTGAGGAACGAAAGGCAACGTTTTCCCAAATATTTTCCCTTCCAGAAGAACTTTAACATTTAGGTCTCTTTCTTAATTAGCCCAGTTATGCGGCCATGTAATTGCTTCCAGGAGTGGCTGCCTCCCCTCCTGCCTGGCCTAAATATTCCTCTTGGTATGAAGAAAACATTTCTTTCAGGTCAAATTATTTTTATTTTGATTATGGTACCAAGTTTCAGGCCTATAAACACATGTGGTTACCAGCATAAGCAAAAAATTAACCGATCTACTGCCAGAGCCGGATGCTGATCCGGCACCCGGCACCTCGGGCTTGGTTCTCAGCTCTGCCGTTAGTGCCCAGGGATTCACAGCGTGCCTCGTGCCTCAGTTTCCCCATCTGTAAAGTGAATTCTTTGGGGTCTACTGGAAAGCCCAGTGTGGACATTTTGGCTTTCCCTTGCTTGGAATGCTGAAGACCGTTGTACAGAAGCCATTTCTGCCACGTACAAAGCCAGGCTAGAGGACACGTGCAGCCAAGCAGACGCCCTGCCATAATTTCAGCTCTTCCTCTTTTTTTTCCTCTTACTTTCCACTCTCGTTTCTAGAGAGACTTTAGAAGCAGTCTGGGGGAATATGCAAACCCGCAGGGTTTTCTCAAGCACACTTATCCTCCATCTCCCACTGCCCACAAGGAATTAGCTGCTTTTCACGGCGTTCCCGTCCCGGGAAGGGCTCTGACCGTGCCCCACAGCCCGAAAGCCCGCCCCACCAAAGGCAAGAATGCTCACTGTAACGTGCCTAATCCTGCTCGTCCCTCCATGCCAGTCCTCCCACGCGGAGCTTATTTCATAACCGAACAGCGACGAAAACCCCTGGCCCTCGCACAGCTCCCGGCTCCGCTTTCTTCCCGCTCTGCTCCAGCCCTGCTCCCCCAAACCCAGCAGTGCATCCCCCGTCGGGGGGGTGGAGGACAGTAGCCAGAGAAAATACAACTATTCCTCAAGGTTTTCCGGGAACACAGACTGAGCTGCGTTTGGATATAGGAGTGATTAGATTTCTGACATCCTGGGGTCACTTGCCCGTGCCAAAGCCGGGGCTATCCAAATTATAAACATCGGTTTCCCAGCCAACAAACTTCTCTCCTTGGTTTGACACAATGGAGGAGTTGTCTTTGCCCATGGCATCCTCACAGGGTGAGGAATGTGGGTGCTGTGCCGGGAGCACCAGTGCTGCTGCCGGGCAGCTTTGGTGCCCCATTCCAGCCAGTGGCTGCCCCACGGATCCCACCTGGTGAAATATTTTGGTCAGATTTGCCACCTGATACAGTTGGGTTTTTTAAAGCTCATGGCATAGGCTTGGCCTAACTGCTGAAGCACTCGGTTGGTCCCGTGTGGGTAATTAACGTTAACTCTGCGGTTGTAATCCGGCAATTTCAGGCACATCTACTGCAAGGGAAACGCATGTGCATGTCTCACACCTCTTGGTGAAGGTGTCCATTCATGTCCTCCATCAGCCTCACTGGAGCCTCCGGGGAGCAGCTGAAGAACAGATGTGCTGGAAAACACGGATCCAACCCAGCTGTGAGCTCTGCGTCAAGCCTCAAGGTCCTCCTGTCTCCTCGTCATGCCCCTGTCCTGCATGGAGCCTGGGTGCAAGGCTGGGGAGGGACCCAGGAGGGCATCAAGGGCTGGCTTGTGTGAGGCTCCTCACCCACTGCCATGGCTCTGTGCCGCCCATCAGACCTTCTCCTCCCAAAAAGGGTAAACCTGAGCCTGGACACTCTCCTCTTTCCGTATCCATCGCATGAACCTTCTCCATCGGCACAAAAAACACCTGCAGGCACCCTTCCTGGGGCTGGTGACCTCATGCAGAGCCCCTCCACAGCACCGGGAGCGATGCATGGAGGGGGGATTCTGTGCCCCTCTCCTGCCAGCCAGCTCCGGCCGCACAGCCCGCAGCCCTCCTCCCGAAATTCACTTACCAAACACATCTGCTCCGGTGACACGCTGCTGCTTTTAGCACCCCGGTTGTTTGGTAACTGCGAGCATTTGTTCGTGCTGTCCCCACTCTCAGCCCCTTCCCATTCACTGCCTCTCTTCCATGCTTCCATGGATGGCTGAAAATCGTGAAGCTCACTTTGGGTTAACCCGGCAAGCAGGATTTAAGAACGGCTTGCAAACGATTAGGGATTTGGGGAAGAGATGATGACACCCCAAGACTGCTGAGAGGGGGTCTAGCTCTTGCAGGGACAAAAAGCAAGACCCTCTCCCAAGTGCATGGTCTGCAGGAGCCGGTGGTCCAGCTTCTGGTGGTCTGGAGCAGTTTCCAGGCAGGCTCCAAGGCTTCTGTGCTCCCCAAGGATGCTCAAGGATGGCAACCTGCCGAGCCTCACTGTGCCTTCATCCTC